AGCTGGATGAACACAGCAGGCCAAGCAGCATCAGAGGAGCAGGAAAGAAGAAGGGTCCAGACCCGAAACATCAGCTTTCCTGCTCCTCTGATCCTGCTTGGCCTGCGTGTTCATCCAGCTCTACACCTTGTTATCTCAGATTCTCCAGCATTGGCAGTTCCCACTATCTCTGAAACGATTCCCCCCACCCATCTGTAGACGAACCTGTTTCTCAAAATCATTGGCAGTTGAGCTATCCATGTCATCGGTATCTGCTTGCTGATGGGTGACTTGAAGCTCTTCATGCCTGTGGACCTGTGGATATGACTCTGTACTGAGGTGGTGACTCTGTTTGAATCGGTGACAGCAAAGAACCTGCTTTTTGTTTTCTCTTTCATCGTAGCGTAGTGCTGCACAGAGGGCTTGTGACGATGCCTCGTAATACTTGGTGTGTTTGTATTTTGATTTGAGCTTTTGCATGGTAATAAAGGGGTGCTTTAAGGCTACATTAGGGTCAGGCCGCCGTCCTGGATCATAGGTGAGAATTTTCTTTATGAGTGACACCATTGCCTGCTGATCGAACAATTCAGCTTTAAATTCCTTATCTGGGAACATAGTTTTGCTTAGGTTGATGGTTGCAAGCTGGTCGAGTGAATGGATGTTTCTTGTTCTGGTCTCTAACGGCTGTACCATGGTCTCCGCTTGATACTCATCTACTGTTTTCAGTGTCCACTGGTAGGTGGAATTAATTTGGCGAGCTTTTTTGAAGAAATGGTGAGTTTTGCTGGCTATTTCCAACAGGTGGTTGCTTGGGAGCCCTTGCGTCTCAACAATGTACCTGATTTGGTCATACTCATTTGTCCCAGGGTAGATAGGCCACCCAAGGTGTAACTCTGCCATAACACAACCGAGAGACCACATGTCCAACTTCTCACAAAAGGGCAAGCCAAGCAAGATCTCAGGGGAACGGTAAAATCTAGATTGAATGTATGGTCCTGTGCAAGGGAAGAAAAAGAAAACTTTATTGGGAAAGAGGCAAGAAGTGATAAAACTTGGGGGCGTTGTATTATAACAACTATACACAATTATTTAAGTTCTATTTAAGTTACAGAATGTTGAAATATTCTGAAAAAGCTTTAAAACCTCCATCATTGATAGGCAAGGGCATGGGTCCCAAATTCACTCCAGCCCGATCAGGGTTCAGGCACCAACCTGACCCACCTAATCAGCCAAAATGGCCTCCCGTGGGAGGCTGCAGCACCATGCAACTTGACCAGCCCGCTGGAGTTTGGAGCTATGGATGGTGGTGGTAAAGACTGCAATTTGTGGCCCACCCCCTGTTTACTGCCTGTCACTGTCAGCACACCGTGGAAGGATTTACAAGTTGACACTCGCCCCCCCCACCATCTGGCTGCATGATGATCATTGGCTAGCAAGTCCTGATATGGGCCATGAACCCAGAGCCTTTGGCTTAGAGGCAGCCCACTGCATCGAAGCCCTCCAACATTATGCGTGTTGACTCTAACATTCTTACATGTGAAATTTATGAAGATCCCCCCATTTGTGGGATTAACAGAAATGATGGTTACATGGCGTGAAGAGGGCTTGGCCTGAGCTGCCACAATCTGATCAAATCTTTGGGTTGAGAGCTGTTTCTTTCAATCTAGTTACGGCACACATGCTTAATGGCAGCCCAGGTCCTTTTAGCAAACTTACTCTGATAGTATCCTGTTCTCTGCAGTTTACAGGTTCAAGAGAGAGGGTTATTTCAAATATCGTAGAAACATAGAAAATAGGGGCAGGTGTAGGCCACTCAGCCCCTTCAAGCCTGCAGCATTCAATATGGTCACGGCTATCCATGCAATAACCCACTCCCGCTGTCTCTCTGTACCCCTTGATCCCTTAAACAGAGGTCATTCAAAGCAGCTTCTACATAATTGGCCCTGCTTTTGGATTACTGGCAATTCCTTTCAAGATCTGAAGAATTGAGTGATACCCAATGAACCACTCTGTGAGATACAACAAAAAGGACAAGGTAGGAAAGAAGAGTAGTTGATAAAAAATAGATGGGAAAGTGGAAAATGGTGGTGGTCAGGATTTCAGTTTCCTTTCACACAGATTGCAGAAAATAAACATGCAAGTACAGCAAGTAACTGGGAAGGCTAGTGGTATATTCACCTTGAATACAAGCACCAGGCAGTAAGGAAGTCTTGCTGCAGTGTGAGTATATCTCGGGGTTTCTATACTTAAAGAAGGAAGTACTGGCCTGAAGAGGCAGCAGTGAAGGTTCACGAGATTGAATCCTGAGATGTGACAATTTGCTATAACAAAAAATTAATTAGGAGCACACCAATACTCCTCAGATTTGAGATGAATGTAAGGTGTCCCTCTTTGAAATACATGAAGCTTTTACTATATCCCTGGTTGAAGAGTTTAGAATTGGGAGCAGTCATCTGAGGAAAAAAGGCTCATCCAAATTAGAACTGAGATAGGGACAAGTTTCTCCATTCAATGAATACAGAATCACTGGAATTCTCATGGGCAGGGAGCTGTGGCTAAATTGAGGAGCACATACTGGACTGAGATCGAATCAAAGATAGTAGGAACTGCAGATGCTGGAGAATCTGAGACAACAAGGTGCAGGGCTGGATGAACACAGCAGGCCAAGCAGCATCATAGGAGCAGAGAGGCTGACGTTTCGGGCCTAGACCCTTCATCAGAAATTGGTTTTTAAGCATTAGGGGAGTCAAAAGATTATGGAACTAGGAAAGGAAACTGGATTGGATGTAACAGCTCAGCTATCACCTTACTGGGTGATTGAAGAAGCTGTGGGGACCGCTCCTGTTCCAAATTCCTACATTCTTACCATTTTGCTTGAGCAAACATCTGTAGAAAAAAATGCATGGAGGAGAAGGGACCAGTCAGTTTGAAATTTGTGAGCATTTATTTAGACTAGAGCAAACTAAACAGGAGTAGGAAGGGCTAGTTTTTAGCACTTGGAACTGAGGTCCTTTTTAATTTTCATTTGGTTTGCACAGGGAGATGATGAGAGTCATAAAGGTTTTGTTTCTCCTCTAATTTAGCAATCAGTCAAACATTTTGGCTTCAGGAGAAGGTAGGCTTATTTGCAGCTTTCATTCAGGGGTTTTTAAGAAGTTGTAGGTAATTAATTAGTGGCTGGTTTAATCCAGTTGTCTGAAGCTGGAATCGGTTGGTTCCAGGAAGTATAAATAAAAGCTTCCCAAAGCACAGCCTTGTCTACATTGGGTACTGCTTTGTGTGAGTTTGGTGTTTGTAAGGGAGCTCAGGAGGTGATCCCTTGTTTTACTCTCGTCTTCATTCTCCTGTAGTTAACTTTTACTTAGATCCTGTAGACAAAGTTACTTGATAAGTACAGGTGAATTTTTCTGCCACTGTTATTCTAGAACTTGTAAATGGTAGAAATAGTTTATAAAAGTTACAGGATGGTCGGTCAGCTTGGCCATGTGGATCATATATCCAACGGCATTTACACTGTGTATGCCAGGCCAACACACCTGCAGGAAGTGTCATCATGGGCACAGGCTTAAAGCTGCAGCTTTCAAGGCCTGAGCAGTATCAGCAAGGCAGAGAACTGTGTAGATAGCACATGGGTTTAGGGAGGTGCTCACACTGTAGAGGCAGAACAGTACAGAGCTGTCCTGAGTCTGTGATGCTCACTGATCATCAGATACTCATGAGGGTGATGGTTCCTTAGGGAAGTGTGGCCAGTTGCAGGTTAATAACACTAGGTGCAGCTCAGCTGTACAAGGAGCAGGGCCAATGATATAGCAACAGGTAAAAAAAGGGATTCCATAGTCAGGGGGTCAGGCAAGTATTTCTGTGGGTGTGGCCGTGTCTCCAGGGGAGTATGTTGCCTCCCCTACTGCCAGGTTAAAGGATGTTGTGGAGCAAATAGGGACCATCTTTCTATGGGAGGGTGGTCAGTCAACGGTTGTGGTCCATGTTAGTAACAATGACTTAGGTAGGGATGGCAATGAGATCCTGAAAACAGATTTCAGAGATCTAGCTGGGACCTCTCAAGCAGTAGTCTCAGGATTACTCCCAGTCCCATGTGGCAGTGAGTATAGAAATAGGTGAAGTGAGTGACTGGACATGTGCATGGAAAGCTGGGGTAGGAGGATAGCTAATCGATTTTTGGGGCATTGTAACTGCCCCTGAGGAAAGTATAAGCTGTATAAAGTGGACAGTCTGTACCTGAACAGGACTAGGATAAATATCCTTGCAGGGAGATCTGTATGTGCTATTGTCGAGGGTTTAAATTAGATTGGCGGGGAGTCTGGAACCTGAGGGCAAATACAGGTCAGGGAATGGGAGGCAGAAAATAATTTACTGACTCTAAAAGACAGGTGAAGCGGATGTTAAAAAGGAGACACAGGGAAGTGGCAGCATGAAAAACATATATGTTTAAATGCAAGGAGTTAAGGGAATATAAGAACATAAGGAATAGGAGCAGGAGTAGGCCATCCGGCCCACCGAGCCTGCTCCACCATTCAATAAAATCATGGCTGATCTTTTTGTGGACACTTACCCGCTCATTCACCGTAACCTTTCATTCCTTCACTGTTTAAAAGTCTGTCTATCTTTGCCTTAAAAATATTCAATGAGGTAGCCTCAACCGCTTCACTGGGCAGGGAATCCCACAGATTCACAACCCTTTGGGTGCAGAAGTTCATCCTCAACTCAGTCCTAAATCTGCTCCCCCTTATTTTGAGGCCATGCCCCCTAGTTCTGGTCTCACCTGCCAGTGGAAACAACCTCCCTGCTTCTATCTTATCCATTCCCTTCATAATTTTATATGTTTCTTTAAGATGCCCCTCATTCTTCTAAATTCCAATGAGTATAGTCCCAGTCTACTCAATCTCTCCTCATAAGCCAACCCTCTCAACTCCGGAACCAACCTGGTGAACATCCCCTGCACCTCCTTCAGTGCCAGTACATCCTTTCTCAAGTAAGGAGGCCAAAACTGTACACAGTACTCCAGGTGTGGCCTCACCAGCACCCTATACAGCTGCAGCATAACTTCCCTGTTTTTAAACTCCATCCCTCTAGCAATGAAGAACAATATTCCATTTGCCAATTTAACTACCTGCTGCATCTGCAAACCAACTTTTTGTGAGTCATGCACAGATTCACAATGTCTTACCCCAACACACTTAAGGTGTGCTTCCCATTATTTCTGGACTCCCATGTGTCTAAAATCTAGTGATCTCAATGGCTGAATATATACAACGACTGAGAACCCAGACTTGGGCTTCTAGGGAAGAGAAATCCAAAGATTTCCAATCAACCGGGGGAAGAAATATCTTTTCATTGCAGCTGAAGTTGGATCCTGACATTGTGACACTTGGATCCCATCTTTCCAACCACAAACATTGTCCTCGTAGCCTCAAGCCCTCAAATAATTTGTTATATTTCATTGGTAAGTGTCATTTATCTGTTTGTGAGATGTTTGTTAAACAAAAATCACCTAAATGGTTTTAAACTTAAAATAAGATGTCGAGGTTTGATCAGAAGTTATAAAACACAAGTTAATTATCTCCTTGCCAAACTTATTCCTTGAAGAACATCATCAGCATTTACCATCCAAATACATTTTTTTGAATGAACAGTTCAAAGTGGCCTACGCTGATTGCAAAATTCCTTAATTCCTGCTCAAACTAATTGTCATTCACGATTGTCCTGCAATCAAGTTAAATGGTTGGGTGTCCCTAGGCAATAATAATAAAAAAAAATTAAAATGAGTACATACCTTTAATTTCCTGAATTTCAGACAATATGCAGGCTGAACCAAAATCAATCACCTTGACTTTGAAAGGAAATTGAGCCTGTTCAACCAGCATGATATTTTCAGGTTTGATGTCTGTGTGGACAATACAGAGCTCCTTCAGTTTCTGCAGAGCAATTAGAACCTGTTTGGTGATCGACCGAATGTGCTTGGTTGGCAGAGGGAGGAAATTGTTCTCCTTCTGATACTCGTACAAACTCTGCTCCAGGAGTTCGAACACCAGGCATAACTTTGTGTCATCGTTAAAGGACTCAAAAAAACGAACAATGTGGAACTTGTCTGAATCCACAGTTCCCAACATTCGCAGCATTTTTAACTCACACTTGATGACCCCTTTGCGGAAAGTGTAGTTCCTGATAATCTTTATGGCTACAAAGTGATTGGAGCTCCTTTTCCAACATTTTGCCACTTCTCCGAAAGTTCCTTTCCCTAAGACACTAATGACGTCATAGACATCAGTGTCAGAGTACATTACAGACATTTTCAAATGGGACCCCCACCTCTAACCTTCTCAGTACTCAAATAAAACTCCACTGTCTCCAACAACAGAATCTTCAGCATGTTCCAGTTCAATGGTTATCACTAGGATGTCGGAGGTGTCCCATTGTGACCTAGGTTTACCACCCGATGACCAGGGGCCTAGCCACAAGAATCCTGTTGACTACAGTTTTGTGCCATGAGTTCCACTGATGTCTGATACATCTTATCCAGGTTCAATCTTTCATTGTTTTATTCAGGACCAAGTTAAACCATTTAGGGAGGGCGTATGCAGCTTTAATATTTAAGTTAACAGCAGACAATTTGACTGCAGCTTAGGCAGCCCAGTTGAATTGACCTCAAATGGACTGCTCACTAAAGTTATTGTCTGTGACTGAATCACAGGGCAGCTACAACATTGTGGAACCGCTAGAAATCTCGCCCCATGTCTCTCTGAAACCAGGTAAGGCACACACGCACGAGAACATCAACAGTACAAATGCTCCAATTGCCACATTATCAACATGCAAGTTGTGATTGATATAATTTTGTCTCTGCCAGGGTCTTTTTTTTAACTTGATGTGGCAATTCTTACGTTAACCCTTATAACAAAAAAAAAATGGGACATGGGTATCATGCTATTGCTGAATCCAACAGATGTTTATTACAGCTCCTGTTACATTCGGACATTACTTTCACAGGTACAGTAGGATCCGGGCTAAGATTAATGGGTTACAACTGAGCAGCACACTTCTTGTAGTGTGCCATGCTTCAAGGGATCAGAGGTAAAATGGAACATGAGACATACTACACAGTGATGACATCATGAGCATGAAGATATACTGGCATCCTGTAAGAATCACACGGTGACCCCTGTTTCATTAAAGGTTACAAATTTGAAATGAAGTTAAGAGAAAGACGGGTCTCTGGAAACCCAAATACATGAATGTCCCCAGTGTAAATCCCACCTTTGCACAACACACCAGAAAGCAGTGCTGTGAAAAATCAATACCCAATCCTAAATGGCTTACAGTATTCTGAGCAGGCTTACCACAATAATTTGTCTTTAGGACACTTTCAAATATTACTCTGAATGTCGAGGACAGAGAGAGCAGCCGCAGCACTGCTTCTTCACCTGAGATTGTTCCTTTGCTCACACTCACACTGTGGAAAATAATGCCTCAACCTAATGAAAAAAACCTGCCATTTGAATGTTGCATGGACCAGTTACCTTATCTACTCTGGGCTGCATGATGACATGTTAGTGTAACTACATCTATTGGAAGTTTCTCCCCTCTTGAACTGAGCTTGCAGAAGAAGACAATCTACAATGGACGAAGACTTCTCAATTTCAAACTCTTATCCAGTAGCATGAAGAAGCTCTGAAACCCCTCTCATACCCCTGAGAGAGTACGGGAGATGTATCAAACTATACTTCCCCTAGGTTTGTAAACATACACAATGTAGCTCTGCTTCTTTCTCATAATATTCTTTTCTCAAATTATAAATAAACTAAAATAAAAGAGATCTTTAGAGGCATCTTCAGCATTGTTAGAGGGGGGTGTGGAGATGACAGCTTCACTGCTGGCCGTACAGCCACTAGATGGCAGTGTTTCATTCTATCTGGCTTTGGTCCGGCCCCATGGGATTTTTAAGGCAAATTTCTCAGTCACCCTGAATCTATATGTACACATCACCATCCCCTCACTATTACTTAAAACCATGGCAACCAGTTCCACACAAGTTGTGAAGATCATTCTCCTTAATTCAATGGTCTATTCATCTTACCTGGTTTGAATCTTTCTTTGCTTTGCTCAGGAGCAAATTAAACCGTTTAGAGACAGGGTGTATCCAGCTTTAATAAACATTGAAGTTAAAAGCAGACATTTGACTGGAGCTTAGACAGTCCAAAAGATTTGAACTCGACTGGACTGCCCACTAAAGTTATAGCTGATTGAATCACAGAGCAGCTGCAGCACATAAAAATTAGACTCTCATTTGTGGGAAGTTTGAAACGTTAACTAGAAAATATTTCCCACTTGCAACAACAATTTTTCCTCCCTGGCCAAAATATCAGAACTCAAATCATGAATTGTACTTTAGCCACTAGGTACAATGTCTCAATTTTCCATTCTTCCCTTGTTCTCTACACAGGAAGGACAACAGCATTATCAGTGAACATTCTGACCAGGCTGTGTCCACGTAATGTTAGTATTTACAGCTGGACATCCCACTAAATCAACTATGTCATCTCAATGTTTTCTCTTACTGTCTGGAAACTTAAATCAGAAGGTTACCAATGAATCACTTCCAAATTAGCCATTTGCACCTTTCAGCTAATTTGATTGGCCTCTACTTTAGATGATAAATAGAATTTTTGAGCATGTGATTTGAGTGTGAGTCAGTTTTAACTCCAAACAGCAAGTAGTCTCTTACTCAATACCATAATAGTCTGATATGTCCTGCTGTACTGAAGTGTTTGGCATCTTTCCTGCATGACACCTACCATCCCAAGGCAATGGAGCAAATCTAGCCTTCACAGATGGTTCAAAAACTAATCCCACTTAATATTACTCCTTTTTTACAAGTTTATGTTTCACTTTTAAGCTAGCTTCAGTTTCACAGCATACACCATCATTAATAACCTGATTAAAATGTAAGAATATCTTTTCTGAATTTTAATGGTGAAGAAACACACATTTATACAGCAAGACTACCAGGTGTCTCTCAGCACCTTGTTATTCATTCCTGTGATGTGGGTGTTGCTGGCTAAAGCAGCATTTACAGCCCTTTCTTATAAGTCCTGGAGAAGGTGATGGTGAACTGCTGTTTTGAACTGAAGCAGCCCCCAGAGTATAGGTGTTGTAAGGGACTGAGATCCAGGATTTTGACCCAGCAACAGTGAAAGAGCAGTGAAATTATCCCAAGTCAGGTTGGTGCGTGGCTTGGATGGGAACGTGCAGCTTCTAGTGTTTCCATGCATCTGCTGCTGTTGTTGTTCTAGGATTCGGAAGATGCTGCTAAAAGAGGCTTGGCGAGTTACGCCAATGCATTGTGTAAATAGAAAGTTACTGCTGGCTCAGTATGTCGGTGGTAGAGGGATTAAATGGTGACAGTGGTACATGGGGTGTCAATTAAGCAGGCGGCTTTGTTCGGGATAGTGTTGAGCTTCCTAAAGTACTTGCCAGACAAGTGGAGAGTATTCCATCACACTCCTGGCTTGTGCAGGTATTAGGGAAGACAGGAGGTGAATTAGCCATGACAGAATTCCCAGCGTCTGACATGCAGTTGTAATCACAGTATTTCTGTGGCTGGTCCAGTTCATCTTCAGAGCAATACTAACCCCCAGTATGTTGATCGTGGGTGATTCAGTGATAATAATGCTAAGGGATGATGGTTTGGTTAGATTCTCTTTCGTTAAAGATGGTCATTGGCACAACACAAGTGTCAGGTAATGTTACTTGCATTTTCAGTCCAGCCTAGATGTTGTCCAGATCTGGCTGCACATGGATAAAAACTGCATTAGTATTTTAGGAGGTATGAATGGTTCCAAACATTGTATAGTCATCAGCAAACATCCCTGGTGTGTGTTTGCCTCCTGATGTGGCAACACTGACATTATCTCCTGTGCCATAAGAAACTGGGCACGGACAGTGTTGTCTGAACAGTCCAACAGACATTACAGCGAGCTATTCTACACAAACATTAGATTGCAATTGAGTAGCATGCTTTCTGTAGCATGTCATGCTTCAGATGGTCCCATAGTAAGATGGAGTATGAGATCTTTGTAGCATCAGGCCAAATAGTATCATACTTCGATAATATAAGAAAGTCTCTGAAAGATACACTGACTTATTAAATGTGAGACATAACACAACATTCCCCTTTTAACCAAAGATAAAATCTTACCTCAGACAGATACATATAGTTGTATATAGACAGGTGCTATTAATTTGAAAGTTATACATACAGGTAGAACAGAGTTTATAAGACAAACATTTCAAACTTCAACATAACACTTCAGAGGTTTAACAAGCCTCCTCAATGGTGATCAGGTAGCCCTCTGGAGAAGTACATGTTGCTCTCTGTTGTATTTGTTAAACAATTTAGTTGTCTTGCAGTCACTCAACATCATTTCACATGATTGAGTAGGAGATCTTTATACCTTATTGTCAAATGCTCTGATACAGTGGTGATACTGCGAGCACATCTCTGAAAGGTATTTTGACCATAAAACATAATACAACAATCCCCACTTCTGACCTTACGGGAGAAGGGTCATTGATGAAGCAGCTGAAACTTTTTGTAATTGGACACTACCCTGAGGAATCCTTGCATTGATGTCCTTGACCTGAGATTGTCAGAATCACAGCTCATTGGTAATACTGGACAAGTCAGATCAAGGGTCAGACCTGGTTTAATAAGTTGGAAATTTTGTCTTTGCTATTTGACACAATGGTCAGTCACTACAGCCTCTGTGAGTATGATCAACACAAGAACATACAGGTTTATTAAGGACAAAAGGAAATCTCTAACTGCATGACATTATAAAAGACCCAGTGACATAGTCTTATTACAAATACCAGGGGGGAAATAAAAACCCCTTTTACCCTCTCTAACAGCCTCATAAATATTCAAATCTTGGTGAAGGATGAGCTGGCTTCCACTTTAAAGTTCTTTGTTTAGTTGGTGCAGCTGTAATCAGTTTCTTAATAAATTTCACCCAATGCTTTTCTTCAAGGATTTCAGAGAAAGAGACATTAACTAAACAGACTTCTAACACAGCTCATTTATTCCTTAACCTCCTGTTTGACAGCCTTCTGTTTTGGCAGCTTTTCTTAAGCCACTCAGTGAATTCTTTCCTTCTGCCTTGACTGTTTTGAAGACTGCTAAACTACACGTCAGGTATTTTCCTCGTGGAATCAACTGCTTCTTTCTGAAAGAAACCTACACAATCACTGCCCTTCTGCATGGTTCTAGTTTTCTAAATGAAAACTTGGTTTTTCTTTCTGTCTCCCTATATCATAGGACACCTTGCTGCTAGGCAACATCCAGTGTTCTCCCTCTTTTGTATCTTCATTTTCTGAAGCGCTGAAGTATTCATCTCATTCAAATGCAGGTAAATGAATTTCCAGACAGCTTGTCATTTCTCCCAAAACTCAAATATGAAATGAATATTATGCCCTTTCCTTCTTAACACACACACACACACACACACACACAGAAAACATAAAAATACATATCAAACTTAAAGCTAGAATGGTTGTTCAGTTTAGAACCCAAGATTCTAAATAATTGTAATAATAAGATATCTTCAACCTTCAACACAAGCTGATTGGCCTCCAACAACCACAATGATCTTCTTTCATATTAGTTACAGTCCCAGTTGGGAGAAATACCAAACCCTTCTGAATTCCCATTGACTGCATTTTGCTCCTTGATGTCACTCTTGTTCAGATGGTACTGGTTTCAAAGACGATCAATCTTGCCTTTGTAGTTCAGCTCACTTTTCTATGTTTGGACCAATGCCGTAAAGAAAAACTAGCTGTCCTTGAGAACATGGTGCTGAGCTGCCTTTTTTAATCGCTGCAATCCATGTGCTGTGGGTAGACCCACAATACCCTGAGGGAGGGAATTCCAGGATGTTGACCCAGTGACAGGGAAGCAACAGTGATATATTTCCAAGTCAGGATGAGAGTCAACTTGGAGGGGAAGTTGAAGATGGTGGTGTTCCCATGTATCTGCTGCCCTTGTCCTTCGAAATGGAAGTGGTCGTGGGTTTTGGAAGGTGCCATCTAAGGAACTTTGGTGAATTTCTGCAGTGCATCTTGTAGATTGTACACACTGCTGCCACTGAGTGTCAGTGGTGGAGGGAGTGGATGTTTGTGGATATGGTGCCAATCAAGCGGGCTGTTTTGGCTTGGATGGTGTCAAGCTTCTTGAGTGTTGTTGGAGCTGCACTCATCCAGGCAAGTAGGACTTAGATACAGGAGTAGGCCATGTGGCCCAGTGATCCAGTTCTGCTATTCAGTGAGATTGTGGCTGACGAAATGGCCATGTCATCTCTACTGCCCAATTTCCTGCTTTCTTGATTCCATTCTAGTCAAACTAGTGACCACTCAAACATTCTTTACTGGGCCCCATATTATCAGGTTTTCCAATGAACTCCACCCCTTTCAAAATCTACTGTCATCACCCACATCCTCTTAACTCCCCGACCATGCAAGCTACCACCTCATTTCCATCTCCCTTTCTTATGCCTCCTCGTTGTCACTTCTCAAACTTGAGTACATCTTTTCCAGGATTTCCAGGATCCCCTGGCCACAGGGGACTGAAATAGACTTTGTTAAAGTTATAAGTGACATTGTTTGTCCCCGAAGGGGCACTGTAGTAAAATAAAACACAGACTAATGGGAGGTGACAAGATGTAAATGGAAACTTGGTAAATTGAAGTAATACGCTCTGAGGGCACTACAGCCCCCATGGTGCCCACCAGTCTGTGCAGGTACACACCATGTACTCACTCTCGATAGACACCTGACCATGGGCGTGACCACCAAATAGGGGCAGTCTCTCTGACCCCTTCCCTGGCCTACTACCTGCACCTATTAACGGCCTAACAGCAAGCCCACCAGCATAATGACCCTTCCCCACATGCATTGCCTGTGAATCAGGAGCAGGGGGAGCTGACGCACAACTGGGAATTTAGCAGCAGCCCCTTCAAAAGGCTAAAGTGGGGCTGAACATGAAAACACTCAACGTGAACATGGAAGGCTATTTCCACACCCCTCCCCCTCCCCCATGCCACAAAAATAACATGGGCCTGGGACCTTGTGAACTGAATTAATCTACTGTTATAAGGAACTGCTCCCTGCACCCCAGATCCCTTATTGTAAAGGGAAGTAGCCTTTTGTACAGGATCCCACTGGGGATCTCTGTCGGAGGAGAATATGTTACAACAGGGCATGTCCCTGGTGAGGGTGTAAAGTGAGGGTGTGCAGCAACAGCCTGTACAAGAAACAGGAGGAATTTTCGAGATGGCTCAGACTGTGGGATACAGGCGGGTTGTTTTCAGGCTGATTCACTTTATCTACTGAAGGGCTGACTGTATACTCCCAGTTGTCTGAATGCCAAACAACATTGTAAGAACGTCAACATCAGGTACCTCCAAGTTCCAGCTTCAATACCTTCAGAGAATACTCCCTCCTTTGTTTAGGCATCCCTTGGCACGTTCATTGTCTTTAACAGCAAGTCCTGTAACGGCAGGGCCCCAGTGCAATTAAAATTACCATGAGGCGAAAGCTTGCTTCACTGAGTGAAGGAGGTGGAAACATAAGTGATAATTCATTGCAAATAAAACAAAGGTCAATAAAATTGACTACCTTTGGTAGTAAAATTGCTTTTGAATAATTAGTTTTCAGAATTTTCTTTTATTCATTCACAGGATGAGGGCATCACAGCTCGGACCATCCTTAATTGCCCAAAGGGCAGTTAAAGTCAATGACATTGCTGTGGGTCTGGAGTCCTGTGTAGGCCAGATTGGGTAAGGATGGCATTTACCTTTCCTAAAGGACAATCATTTCACAGACATCATTAGACTCTTAATCCCAGATTTTTAGTGGATTCAAGTTCCACCATCTGCCATGACAGGATTCAAACCCAGGTCCCCATAACATTACCTGCGTCTCTGGTTTAACAGTCCAGCAATAATACCACTAGGCCATTTCCTCTGCTACTGATGAAATACCAGAGCGTCAGTGTGAAAAATGGAGGGAGCACCCTATGAAACCTTGGAACATCACCAGGAAAGCATTACCAACCCAGGTGAGAGATCAGTATGTGCTTTCTTACCCTGTCACACTTATTAACTCTCCCAAACAAGAGTCCACTAATGTAAGTAATTCTTTATTTGAAGTATTTTTATTGCGATCCACTATGTTAATGGAGGTCTGGTCATAGAATGATCAGTGAACATCACGTTTAACACAAACAGTCTTAGCCATGAAGCGAAGTGTTTCCGAACTGTCTTATCGTTTTCCAGATATCAAACTCAAACTTCTACAACAAAGGTAGATTTAAACAAAAAAAGGGAAGGAATTCTAAAATGAACCTTGAACAGGGTACTGTCACCTAGCGATGGAAGTGAATGGTGCCTGATGGGTGGGAAAGATGACATGACAACGTGATGCATATCCTTCTCACTAGATGGCGTATTGTCCAGTCCACATACCAGTCCAATGAGATCACATGGACAGACGTGGTTGTAGACCCATGTTTGGGTGATGTGGTCCTTATTGTTCTTTGAACTTGGGTGCAGAACACTTATACGCCATGCATTGTGACAACCAATCTGGGGGCAGGGAAAAGGAAATGATAAATGATAAGGAGATTTCAGATCAGGACCACCTTCTCCAATTCTGTGCAGTGTAGAAGGGTCTGTAATCTGGTTCAAAACTGCAGTCATTTTTTTTTATAAAGGGAAACTCCATTTATAATTCCAACCCAATGTGTGCAGTTGCTGGGAACAGATAAAACAAATGTAGATACATCCAGAGGCTCAGTATAACTAACAATCCAGATGGTTTTGTTACAGTTGCTACCATCTGGATTTACTGAGGTAAATGGTCCACACACCATTTACCCAAACCTCATGACTGAAGGAAAAGATCAGAAACTAGAGACGAGTTGCATATCAGAGCAATAGAGGGGTTCCAAGAGAGTAAGGCATTCCTCTCACTCAACAGGATAACACCTTCACCAGCAAAATCTGCCCTGACACACTCACTGACTGCACTCCCAAATCCATGCGTCAGCCCTCATTAATCCAGGAGTGAACAAAGCGGAACATCAACATAACTTTAGCAGCAACATTCTGTTCTTGAACTCACAAGATGACGGGTTAAAGGCCAATCCAGTGCTGGATTATATAACCTACGCTGATGGCTTTTGATGGACTGTCACATTAGCAGAAGTAATGTTGCTGATGGGATTTTAAATTAAGTTTCTATTTTCTCGCTCGGGGCAATGTAAAAGATTGTACAGCGTTAGTCGAAAAGGACTGGGATCAGTTTGCTGTGTCCTGGCCCATATCAGATCAGGACCCAGGGTTACCCATTCTCAAATGGATACTTCCATCAATAAGGACCTGAGCCATTACAAGGAAGTCGCTCCCTTCTTAGACCAAATAGGAAAGGAGAGCTTACACAGCCTTGGCAGGGTCACCCACATCTGGAGAACAAATTTAAAAATGGAGCCTTTCAGCTAATTGGCAAGAGAATGAGATGGGGAGATGATTATTTAAAAATAATCGATAAAATTTGGAATACACTGCCTGCAAGGTGGGCTCAGCACCAACAACAATTTTTAAAAAGGAACTGGATACGTGCTTGGAATGCGAATTTCTGTAAGGAAATGAGACTAATCAGATTGCTTTTTCAAAGAGGTATCACCAGCACAATGGGCCAAACGGCCCCCTGCTGCATATATTTTATGAACCTCCAGAGTCATTGGTGGAGCAGGATTTCATAAAGAGATGTAATGTCTACATTGCTGTAGACTGGGTCATCCTGTATAAACACCACTTACAGGAAAGCAGGCAGTGAGAATATTCAGGTTAAACCAGATTTCTCAAAATTCAAAGCCGATTCTCACATCAACCTCAGACAGGTTCCAAATTAAAACAAATGTGAGAAGCTCCGAACCTACAAGGCCAAGTAACCAAATGCTCAAGGGCCATCATTAAGAGAAACAAAATAACTATGAGTTTCGCAAAATCTAAAATTGCACTAACCATCTAAACCACTGTATTCAGGGTTGAACATAGAGTCACAGGGCAGCTTCATTCAGTCCTGGTTTTAAAACTTTTTTAAATGTTATAGTTCATAAATAAATACATGTGGAAGATCTGCCGAAGGCATTTCATGATGAAACAGAAACACAATCTCTCCTCTCTCCCCTGGTCTAACTATGAAATAGGGTAGGGTTTGACGCCATTGTGGTTTGACCATTCCTCACATGGTGCTCCACACTAGAAAATAACCACATTTTGAGGTGACTGTAATGGAAGCAGCAGGAAACATGCAAGGTGGGAGGGAAACATCAGTGAAGCATAACCAGATCAGCCTGTTTCTTGCTGTAATTCTATATAATTCCATCAGATAACTGGGGCAGTTGCTCCATATGGAACCTGGAAAGGGCAGGAGACCATCAGGAGGTATTCCTGGGTTTGGAACAGAACTAGGAATCCAAGCCAAGAATGAAATTGACAGGGAACACCCGCGCTTTGACAGTAAATTTACAATTTTCCTCGTGAAACCTGCACCCAATGCAGGTATTTGTGCTAATTGGGTCAATGGCCGAAGAGTGGGAAATGAAGTTTAATTTAAAATGCGAGGTATTACATTTTGGTAAAACAAACAAAGAAAAGACTTATACATTTAAAAGTAGGGCTTTGGGCAGTGTTGTAGAACAGAGACCAAAGGGTTCAGGTACATAATTCTTTGAAGCTTGCATCACATATAGATAAGGTGGTTAAGAGGGCGTTTGGCATGCTTGCCTTCATTGCTCAGGCCTTTCAGTATAGGAGTTGGGACGTTATGTTGAGGTTGTACAGGACTTTGGTAAGGCCTCTTCTGGAATAATGTGTCCAGGTCTGGTCGCCCAGTTATAGGAAGGATATTATTAAACTGGAGAGAGTTCAGAACAGATTTACCAGGATGTTGCCAGGTATGGAGGGTTTGAGTTATAAGGAGAGGCTGGATATGCTGGGACAGGTGAGACGAGAAAGATTTAAAAAAGACATGAGAGGCTTTTTTTTTGTTAGAATGTAGTTCGTGTGTGGGATGAACTGCCAGAGAAAGTGGTGGATACAGGTACAGCTACAATGTTTAAAAGACATTTTAAATATTTTTCAATATGGACTGGTTGGACCGAAAGGTCTGTTTCCGTGTTGTATGACTCTATGACACTATAATAGAAAAGCATGGGTGAGATGCAAAATAATGCTTCCCCTAATTCAGCTGAACATTCAATTTTAACCTTAACCCCAGAGATGCACCCCTTTAGCTACACTAGAATAAATCCTGTTGTCTGACTGACAAACATCAAATTTTGGCCACTTTTAGTTTATTGCTATGGATCCAAACGGAGTATTGAGACTCATTGTGATCAGGACCAGAACAGCCAGAGGGAGTTAATCTTTAACAATAGTTCTGGAAGCCCGATCCCAGCAGCAAAAACATAATGCAAACAGTCCGAAATTATCCAAACACCTGCACTCTAGCATTTTGATGACACTAATTGTTCCTGAATAAGGGAGATATTTTAGAACTGTTAAGAAATAAGCTACCTCAGTGTAAGGAGGAGTTGGTTTGGAAAGTCCAGACCAGAAATGTTTGGTTAAAACTTTGAAACTGAAAAACTCTTAATACCAGTTGACTGAAAACTTACGGAAAAGGTTATTAGATCCTGGGGACTGGGAATTGAAAGTTAACCTAAAGTTAATCTAAGTCCTTTAGAGGAGATAGAGAAAGGGCTTCTCTCTACTATGAGTACAATAAAGGAATGCTATTGGAACTAATGAGATTGCATCTTACTGAATTTTCAACTTTTTAAACTTGTGTTGTATGTAAATACTTTGGTTTATTCTATTGTTTCCTTCATCTTCTAATTTGCATTAAAAAAAACTCGTGTTATTAAAACGAAATCTGCGGCACTGCATGTTTGCGTTTCAGTGAAAGACCACCTCATTTAAAAAAGCCAGATTTCAATTTGGGATCTGAGCTGTCCAATAACAATATCAGCTGGAATCATAACGTAAGATTCTGAATAATTTCCACTGGCCTGGAGAAATACTTAAACAATCATAATTTTAACAATAACTAAAGTCAGCATCACTACATAACAACTATGTTAACCTCACTGCAGCTTTTAATCTGCAGGAAGAGGGAATTTAACTAATTTGTGATTTCAAATTACTGGTTAGAGAAATTGCAATAACTTATCACTTTGCTGTGATGGTAAATATATTTTTTTTTGAATGTATAAAAATATTGGCCTTTGATCATTTCACATTCTGAAGCATTCTGGGTTTGAACACAAAATTGGCTTGTGTCAGCCTTGTTTGCAACTACTGAAGAGTATGCAAGGTGTGTGCAGCATTCGCTAAAGCTGGGAAATATCCAGTCACCTGCCTGCACAGATGATGTCTGAAAACCAAAAGGAACCCAAGATTTCCAAGCTGTTTTGCTGTCGTTCCACTGCTCTACTCCCCTCACCATCCCCTTTCAGAAAGCAGACACTTGCCAAGACGACATCCCCTCTCTGTGCATGCCCAAGTCGGCACTATTGCCCCCAAAGCTACACCCATCACCCTGTGTAAAATATAGTTGAGGAACCCCGCACTATACAGAAATTATCTTTTTAAATGAACTTTCGGACAGGTAGACACTGAGTGATACAGTTTCATCGCTCAGTCGCTGTCAGATTTCAGAGGATTCAATTCTTTCTATCCATGGAAGGGTTTGCTTGGCGTCAGTGTCTGCTAGTTCCATTTTGGCTGCAATCTCCTGAACTTCTTGCTCCAAGACTTGGTTTCTTTGGTACATCTCTAAGTAGCTGGACTGCAGTTGTTTCTGATACTGGATTACCTTCTCCTTCTCATCCAGCCAGGTGCTCCGTTCCATTTCAAAGCTAGCAGCCTGAGCTTCACATTGCCTGCGCTCCAACAGCAGCTCTGCTTTCAGCCTCTCGACCTGGAGGGCCAGGGCTTGAGCACTGTCTGCCTGAAGGCCCCTCGCCTTCAGATCGTCCGTCTCCCCACTCAGGAAGGTCTTCATCTCTTCAGACGTTCCATCACTCCTCAGAGAGGCTTCTTGGAGTAAAATGGCTTCCTCCTGTTGCTGCAGAGCATTAGTGCTCTGAGCTAACTGGATGGACTGTGCCTGCAGAGAGTTTTTTAACAGTAGCAACTGCTCATCTTTGGTACAAAGCTCCACTCGCACCTCACGGAGTAGCGTCTTCAGGCTGAACAATTCACTCAATTTCTCTGCCACCTCCGCTTGAGAATCTCGGAGCTGCTGCTTTAACATGGCGATCTCACCAGCCTTTTGACAGACCTGCAACGAGACAAGTAGCAAGTTAGCGGTTTGTTCTGGCCACTTAGAACAGAAAACTATTCATTTGAAGCCAAGAGCACCAAGCGCTGGTTCATACAAAATATATATTTTCATTGAAGTCCGTCTTAATTGCTTTGTATCATTTCATTAAAGCAACCACAAGAGGGATGTGGAATTCACCCCACAAATTATGGTATAACTAACCAAGCAGAAACCTCAACAGTGGATCTCCAGGGGTAGAGAGACAAATAAACATCGGACTATAATCCACATCAACTCTTCGAATGTCAATCACATAGGAAAAAGTCAGGAAGCCCTGACTACATATCTCTGCTGCTCTGAGTTAGTTCATTTACCTTTGATGGTTGAGTAAAAGTGGTGCTTTCTAAATAAATGTGAAAATAGCCAGTGGTGAATATCCGAGGGGAATAAAGACTAGTTACTATAACAAATCCCAGACAATGAAATTACACATGAAGCAGAAGAACAACATGTCTTTTTGCCAGGTTATTTCCGAGGTCGGGTCATCCAGAGTCTCAGGAAATAAGAATTGACTGAGCAAAAAAAACTTGCAAGAGCTCATACGGGCAGGTGTGGTGCTAAAACAAGAGAGAGCAGAAATATCACAAGTTTCATCCCAGTCATATGGACAGCACAAAACATTAAAACAACGCTGTGTGAAAAAGGGACAACCAAAATATGGTAGGAGCTTCTGGCAAGTGTAAAGACCAGGCAAGATTGTTGCAAAGCCCTTTGCATGTTCCCTGATAGATTGGATGATTATTTGAGGTAGGTAGATGTAGGCCATTAAGAAATCCCAATGAGTTGGGAAATGGTTAAGGGCAGTATTATGTTGCAGTGGCTTCCCTTCAATCTTTGGCCCACTTCACTCGAGGCCACAAAGGTTCTTCACCATTACCGTGGCACGGATTCTGTTCCCTCATCCTCCTGACTTTTTGCTCAGGTGTGAATTTATGCTGTCTATTGTGCGACAGGTTCGTATTAAAATGAAAACTTTCATGGGTTGAGAGTTTATGATTCTTCCTGTTAGATTACATTTTTCAAAACACTGAAGTTTTTCCCTGTTTGCGACAGGCACTGTGTTCAGGGCAGGAGAGTAGAGTGGGAGGTGAAGTTGAGGAGGAGGTGGGAGACGACCAGAGAGGAAAAACAAGACTGACCATCCTAACCCTGCTGATCAGCAATGTGTAACCAGCCGCACCCACGGCTCCTCCAATAACTGATGAGCTCCCTGCACCTTTGAGAAAGGCATTTAACCAAAGAAAGATCATTCAAAGATTACTGGAGTAGTGAATGGTGACAATCCAATGTGCCATTCCAATGTGTGCTAGCAAAGAGCAATTGAGTACAATATTGAGCTTTTTCCTTATATCCCTGAATTTTAAATTAAAAATTGTGAAGTTCTTTACCCCACAGGCTTAAACTTAACCATCACAACATTTGCTATGTTAGATTTATGGGGTGCCACAGTGGCTCAGTGGTTAGCACTGCTGCCTCACAGCACTAAGGACCTAGGTTCAATTCCAGCCTCAGGCAACTGTCTGTGTGGAGTTTGCACCTTCTCTGCGTGGGCTTCCCCCCACAGTCCAAAGATGTGCAGGTTAGGGTGGGTTTCCCACAGGGAATGCAGTTTTATGGGGATTGGGTGGGAGGCTTATCAGAGGGTCAATGCACGCACAATGGGCCAAATGGCCTCTATTTGCACTGCAGGAAGATCCTGAAGGAAAGGGAAACAAATTACAAAAACAGCATGTACCACTTTGTAGACAAACTCACCTGATTTCAGCTTCCCCCTTGTTCACTTGTTAAAAACCGGAAACAAATGCTCAATAATGAAAGGCCAGCCACATCAGTAAAGAACCCTACCTCCCACTTGCTCTCCTCAAGCTTCGGGGTTAAGTCGTCCTGCTCCTTTCTGTAGGATGTATACCGGCCTTTGAGCTGCTCACATTCCTGCAATAAGTTGTCAAAGTCCTCCTGCAGCTTCCTCTTCTCCTGTTGCACCTTGAAGAGCTGTAGCTGCAGGCTTCGCTGTGTACACTGCGCTTGCTGGCTCACTTGGCGCAGCTTGGTGGCATAGACTCGCTTCAGCTCATCCATCTCCCTCTCCCACAGCCTTTGTTTATCCTCAAACACCTGGGCAATGGCGTCCTCGCTCTCATCCAAATTCCTCCTCACGTGTTTCAGCTCCACCTCCTTCTCGCGGAGCCGCTCCTCCAGTTCCCGGACCACATCCTCCATCGACCTCGAGAGCTCACAAGATGGCGACGTGTGGCCCTGGGGGTTCGGCCGGTTCAGGGCGGCCATGCTCTTACAGGAGAAACGGCCACTGTCTGAGTTTGCTGCCTCCTTGGATGCCCCATCAACGTAGCTTGACCCAATGTGGTTGATTTGGCCCATGGAAGCACTGATCTGTCCGACATGATGCTTCAGGCCTGTTCCGCACGGAGGCAGACTCGTCATGGAGTTCCGCCCAGAGTCAGACATGTCTTCCTCCTGGCTGGCGCTCCTGAAGTATTCCTGCTTTTCCTCTCCATTCCTCAGAGACGAATGGCCCGTCTTGGTGAAGATGTTGAGACTGGCTGTGCTGTCCAACAGTTCCTTGCTCTGCTGCGGATATAGATTCTGCATCGAACTGAAGTTCTTTGGCACCACAGGCTTGAAGGCAGAGGATCGGAATCGAGACTGTGGAGAGAAAGAGAAGGTGGGTAGGAGAGGAGTCAGGATCAATGGCGTGATATTGAACAGGCACACTTCACTGTGTTGCAGTTCACTGGATTTGTGCGCGACACTGCTTAGGGAAATAAAAGGGTCATATTTTCACAGAGTTGAACTGTTCTCCAAGGGAGCACAATTCTGGGATTCACATCCCCACCAACAATTTTCAGTGCAGGAACTGAGCATTTACATGGTTTCAAGACCAACAGAGATTTCTGAACTGGTGCATTTTATTTTTGCGCATTTCAAGACTTGACATTGTGTAGGTTAGGTGATTTGGGGTTGGAAATCGCAGGGGGTCAATGGAAAGAGCAAGGAGGGAGAACATAAGGAATTGTTTTTTTTTCCCCCTTTCTTTATTCATTAATGGGATGTGGGCATCGCTGGCTACGCAGCATTTATTGTCCATCCCTAATTGCCCAGAGGGCAGTTCAGAGTCAATCACATTGCTGTGGGTCTGAAGTCATATGTAGGCCAGACCAGGTAAGGATAGCAGTTTCCTTCCCTAAAGGGCATTAGTGAACCAGATGGGTTTTTGCAACAATCAACAATGGATTCATGGTCATCATTAGATTCTTAATTCCAGATATTTATTCAATTCAAATTCAACCATCTGCTGTGGCAGGATTTGAACCCAGGTCCCCAGAACATGATCTGGGTCACTAGATTAAGAATCCAGTGACAATACCACTAGGCCATCACCTCCCTCCATGTTAATTGGTTTCTATTAAAGGATCTAAGAATCTTTAAAAGAACTGGGGAAGGGTCACAGAAAAGAGGGATGGGACAACTAACTAACCAACCTTAGCCTGCCACTTGTCTCCCTCTGACCTGCCTCTGAAGGTACAAGACCTAATGCCACCCCAGCCTGGTTCTGAAGGTACAAGACCTAATGCCACCCCAGCCTAGTTCTGAAGGTACAAGACCTAATGCCACCCCAGCCTGGTTCTGAAGGTACAAGACCCAATGCCACCTCAGCCTGGTTTCTCTGGAACCAAACCATAGCAGGCAGGAGTCCTGGGAAGAAAGTGGGTCTACTCTGTGGGAAAATTTTCCAAGCCGAGCTTCCCACATCGTTGGTGAATGCCCAGCTCAGAATTATCCTGCGGTTACACTGATCATACTGAGCTGGTTTGCTGGAAGCAGCTATTCCTTTCTGGACCTTCTCCTGTGTCAACACCACTGCCAACAGATGGTAGAAGTGCCTCAACAATGTCAATCTCTGGATTCTCAATCATCGCAGCCAATGTCTCGATCAATGCTCAATTACGGTCACTCTCTCCATGCGCAGGAATTAACCCAGATTCAGTCGATCGAGGGGCTTGTACAACTAGTGAGCAATACTTTCATTAGCTCTGCCTCGACTTGGTCTAATGCATGTCTGAATGGTTCATTGGCATGGCATCAACCCCAACATCTGAACTTTGCCTTGCCTTACGTAAGAAGAAAATGTTAAAACTAAAGTCTCAAAACAAAATCCAGAATCAGAAGAAAGTAAGCATGTAAACATTGGACATGCAGAGAGAATAGGAAATGACTGAAGAGTGTTGAAGGCTGGCTGGTTCCAATCCTATCCTCACACTGTGTTTTCAGATCTGTAGATTTTTATTTTGTGGGAAAGTTCCAGTCAAACACCGTCACTGACGTGCGCTTCAATTAAATATCACACAAGTGTAGCCACCAGATTTACCCACAGCTCAGCCATCCTCTGAAGAATGTTGAAAACTGCTCTAAAATGACACCCATTATCCTCCTGGTCCAGCTGAGGTTGCTGGAATAATGATGCACTTTAAGCATCATCAGCACCTTGGGATACAAATAGAGATATTCGCCTGCACCCGAAGGGCCTGTTATGTTGGGACTGTACTGTCGACGATCCAACTGCTTCTGGCTGAGCTAACCCTGAACGTTTCATAACAGCAGAGTGGATTACAGGGACATGCCCAGGCAGAGACTTCTTACACTGTACATCCTGTTCATGGGCTTAGCTGCTCTGGAACATGACTCTCTCTCTCATAAAATCTGCTCTATTACAAACAAAAATTCAGGAGCACATTCTTCTGATCTTGTTAAAACAATGGCAGCAATGTTCTGGCCAGGAGATGATAAATGTTGTTGTCTTAGCAACATGTTTTTGTCACCTGCCAAAGGTCTGAAATAGTGTTTAGCTGTTATTTGCATTTTTATTACCATAATTGTTTGTGCCTCTGTACAAATGAGATCCTCCTTCATAGCTGAATCCCAACTGAGACAGTGTCTGAAATAGTCAGTTTTAACTTTCACTGGTTTTTCCTCTTGATGTAATTAAACTTTCAAGTTCTTACTAAACACTAACATCTGGGAATCTTAAATTACCTCCTTTCTTTCTGCCATATTCTCACACTTTACAGTCTGAAAATGTGACTTTCCTTGCTCCTCCAGCTGTTAGTGTGTAAAAGTGTGTTTGCAAAGTTTGCAAAATAATGCATTGCAGTATCCAATCAAATTTACAAGCCAATCTCCCTGTATTTGATCTTCCAACACAGTCACGAGGACTTTTAGCCATTCTTTGTGGATCAAAGCAGATATATTTTCCATTGCACTCTCCTCCAATCCCTTACCAAGTTAAAGATATTTGACTATAATATGCTGATATGTAGCCGTAGGAGACATGACAGAAAGGATTAAATGAATACGTGGCATCCATCTTTGAACACATTTGAATGGTGTGAAGGATTGTGTTAAAAGAGCAGGGCATTATAAACAAGGTAACAAATGTATATAGAGGATGTATTTAAAAGAAAACTGGAAATTGGTAAGTTATCTGGGCCCGGGGGAAGATAGCCTATTTTGCTGAAAGAAGCGGATGCAGAGACAGCAGAGACATTGATTACAATTCTTTAATCTGCATTGGATAGAGTGGTGGTCCTGGAGGTGTGGAGATTTTCTTATGTTGTACAGCAAACTCTGTTTCAACTGGCACTCTGAATAAACCAGCAAATGTTATATACCTCAAATGGCACAAACTTTACTGTATTATTCTGTCCAATTATTATTGTTTTTTTTTTAAATTTATTTACCTCAATGTAAATATACTTGTTGTTCGATCAAATGGCTACACAAAATATCAACAGCTAATTCCATTTCAAGTCAATTTCTCCCCAAATATCATGATCTACTGTGATGTTCGAATCAGTTAAGGGTGTAATTGAGAAGGTTCTCTGCTGGTAAGTTTTATTTCAGGCAGAGCTGCATTATTATTCACGTGATTTATGCTGTAAATAAAGTATAACAATGATGTGTATATCCCACATTACATTATTATTTAGTGTGTGTTTTTACATTGATTATGTATACGCCTTGATTATCCGGAATATTTCATCAACTGGTACGCCCATAGGCGCTGGATAATAAAAGGTTTGCTGTGTAAGACAATGGTTTCGAAGGGTTAAACGTTCACGTTACAATGGCTCCACCCATTCTACTGATGTCATAGTATGTGGGTGGAGACAAGGAGCCGTCCTCAAGCTTTTGACAGGAGCTGATGTTCCTGTATCAGTTTCCCAAGGCCCTGGTAATTATAGCTGACCTAATGTAATTGTACCTGGCACTATCACACAACAAGGCTTCATGGTACCAAGGAACAGCACCTCTTCTGTAGACACTCTACAGTAGTGTTGCCTCAAACCACTAATCACTAGGTAGGTCCACGACAAAGAAAGGTATATGAGGACTGGCGAACAGTCTCAAAAGCCCTTGCTCAGCACCACGTAGCCATAGAAGGGGCAAATACCACAAGATAACTGGAGTAGTCTTGTGGGAAAATGTTACGGCAAATGGCATACCACTGTTCAATAAAGGGATAAAGCATAAACAGAGAAACTAGAGGCCAATCAGTCCAGCACCAGTACTGGAAACTGACACAAAAATCAGTGGAGAGGCAGGTTGTGAAAGGGATACAAACAGTTTACAGAGAGGTAATGATAGGTTAAGTAAGTGGGCAGAAGGTTGGCAAATGGAGTATAAGGTGGGAAAATGTGAAATTGTTCATTTTGGAAGGGAGAACAAAAGAACAAAATATCATTTGAAATGGAGAGAAACTGCCGAAAGCTGCAACAGAAAAGGTCCTCTACAACACAGGGCCCTCTGTTGTCTGCAGTACATAGAAATGATCTGGAGGAAAATGTGGGTGGTCTGATTAGTAAGTTTGCAGATGACACTAAGATTGGTGGAATTGCTGATAGTGTTGATGATTGTGAAAGGATACGACAGGATATAGATAGGTTGGCGACTTGGGCACAGAAATGGCAGATGGAGTTTAATCCAGACAAATGCGAGGTGATGCATTTTGGAGGATCAAATTTAGGTGTGAATTATACTGTAAATGGCAGAACCCTTAGGAACATTAACATACAGATGGATCTGGGTGTGCAGGCCCACAGTTCCCTAACAGTGGCAACACAGGTAGCCAAGGTGATTAAGAAGGCATATGGCACGCTCACCTTCATTGGCCGGGGCATGGAGTACAAGAGTCTGTAAACCATGTTGCAGCTATATAAAACCCCAGTTAGACTGCATTTGGAGTATTGTGTGCAGTTTTGGTCGCCACATTACCAGAAGGACATGGAAGCTTTGGAGAAAGTGCACAGAAGGTTCACCAGGATGTTGCCTGGTCTCCAGGGCATTGACTATGAGGAAAGGTTAAAAAGACTAGGATTGTTTTCACTGGAAAGATGGCAGCTGAGAGGAGACCTGACAGAGGTCTACAACATTATGAGAGGCATAGAGAGGGTGGATAGTCAGAGGTTTTTTTCCCAGGGTTGAAGTTTCAATTACAAGAGGGCACAGGTTCAAGGTGAGAGGGGGAAAGTATAAGGGAGATGTGCAAGGAATGTTTTTCACACTGCGAGTCATTGGACCCTGGAATACACTACCAGAGGAGGTGGTGGAAGCAGGCACATTGGCAACATTTAAGGTGCGTCTGGATGGTTACATGAATAGGGAGGGAATACAGACCAAATAAGGGCAGAAGGTTTGTTTTTTAAGTTAGTCATGGCATGATGATCGGCACAGGCTTGGAGGGCCGAAGGGCCTGTTCGTGTGCTGTACTTCTGTTTTGTTCTTTGTTTTTTGTTCCTGACTTGTGGGTCACTTGTGCATGAAACACAGAAAGCTAACACCCAGGTGCAGCGGGTAATCAGGAAGGCAAATGGAATGTTGGCCCTTGTTTAGAGAACAGAAAAAAGGAAATCTTACTGCAACTGTGCAAGGTGCTGGTGAGACCACATCTGAAGTACCAGTGAGCTGTTTTGGTCCCCTTATTTAAGGAAAGATATAATTGCTTTGGAAGCAGTTCAGAGAAGGTTCACTAGGATAATCCCTGGTACGGAGGGACTGTCTTATGATCAAAGGCTAAACAAGTTGGAACTCTACTCACTGGAGTTTAGAAGAATGAGAGGTGATCTCATTGAAACATATTGGATTCTAATGGGGCTTGACAGGGTAAATGCTGAAAGGATATTTCCCCCTCATGGGAGAGTCTAGGACCAGAGGGCATTGGCTGAGAAGAAAGGGACGCCAATTTAAGACAGAGATGAGGAGGAATTTCTTCCCTCAGAGGGTTGAGAGTCTTTTGAACTTCTTGCCACAGAGAGCTGTGTGGGGGCAGAGTCCTTGTGTATATTAAAGGCTGAGACAGATAGATTCTGGACCAGTAGGAAAATGGATGTGAGGAATGTCAGATCAGCCGCGACTCTATTGAATGTCATACAGGCTCAAGGGGCTGAATGGCCTACTCCTGTTCCTATTTCTTATGGTTTTACTGTCAGGGACAAAAGACATGAATTAAGCAAGACAGCCAACGTGGATTGGAGAATGGGTGAGGCACATCTGACTAACTGATCAAATTCTTTAAGGGAGGTAACAGAGGAGCTTGATCGAGATGCTGCAGTAGATGTTCAATATATGGATGTTTAGGAGGAACTCCGCACATACTGAATGGATACAGGACAAGCTCAGTGACAGGAAGTGAAGGACAAGGGTGGATGCATGTTTTTCAGACCGGCAGGTTATTTGCTGTGGAGTTTACCAGGATCAATTCTAGGTTTTATATAAATATCCACTGTTCACAATCCAGAATCAGAGATTCAGTACTGTGTTTAAAACTACCTTTTCAAATTTCCCTCCAACCGGAAGTGAATTCTTCGACAAATCAATCTCCTTTCCGTCTTTATAAGATGTTTTGCCATAAATCTCATGTTGGCCATCCTTTCGACAGCGTTCCATGGAAGAACTCCCAGATGCAATCCTTTTCTCAGTTTTTGCTCCCTTTTTCGTGCTGTTCAGGTAGTTGAGTAACTCTCTCTGGTTTAACCCCTTTTTAAGCAACCCATCAGGCTGCCTGACACTGTGAGCACTCCCATTTCTGTTGCTCTTCAGGCCATCACCTAGGAGGTCCTGTTTGTCAGCCATTAGACTACTGACGCTTCCCATGATGCACTTGCTGTTGCCTGGGGTACAAGGATACAGGTTGCTGCAATGGCTGCTGTGATCACTGGATGTGAACAAGGTTTGGATTGCAGCCATGGACCCTCAGGAATCCAAGGGAGACACTGGAGAGTAACACTAGAAGGAAGAAGAGACATCATTTAGAGCGTAAATTGTCAATGGAGGCAACGCAGACTAAGGTAAGAAGGTGGAGAAAGGTCTACACGGAGAGTACAATGCATACTATCAGTCATCACACATGTACAAAGGCATTTGGATAGGTATATGAAAAGGAAAGGTTGAGAATGATATAGGCTAAATGCAGGCCAATTGGACGAGTTTACTTTGGGAAAGCTGGTTGGCATGGAGGGGTTGGGCCGAAGGGTCTGTTTCCGGGCTTTATGACTGTATGATCCTATGGCGTGAGGTTATTTGACAGATGAAACAAAATGTGAATGGATTCTTATTACATAGTAAATGGGAAATAAAATGATCATTCTTCACAAAGTCTTTACAGTTGCTTGCCTTTGCCAAAACCACCTTCAAAAATATTATTTTAAAAAATACTCTTTACCTGGGGACGCATTTTGATGGCATAAATTGATCATCCAATCTGCCCTCAAGGAAGTAGCCACAACGCCTCCAGCTGATCTATTCCAACCTCAATTCAATCTTCAGGGTCTGAAGATTCAGCTGCGAACAGTTGCTTTTTAAATTTGTTTGAGAGTGACCGTGGCTGGACTAACAATTACCACTCATTCCTAATTGGCCTGGAGCTGGTGGTGATGAACTGCCTTATGAACGACTTTCAGTCCTTATAGGGTGTAGCTATGCCGACAGTGTGGTTAAAGATACACTTCCAGCATTTTAACCTAATGACAGTGAAGCAACAGCGATATATTTCCAAGTCAGGATGGTGAGTGGTTTGGAGGGGAGTTTGCAGGTGGAGCTGCCCTTGTCCTTCTAGATGGAAGAGGTCGTGGGTTTGGAAGGTGCTGTCTGAGGAAAGGGTTTGGAAGGTGTTGTCT